AACCTTTCTCTATCTAAACATTAACAAAACAAAAGTTTACCTGTATCTTGATTCTCACCCCCAAGACTGGATAAGTCTGCTAGGTCAGTCTGATCCTTTAGACAAACTAAAATGGTTTAAATACATGTGTCAGTCACTTTATTTGTTGTTTTTTTTTTACATTTGTTTTTTGAAACAACAAAAATATTTTTCAAAAACTGAATTTTTAAATAGAGATAAAACTAAATATTTAAATTAAAGTTCTAGAAGCTGACCATAGACCTAACATTACAATAACTTGAATTTGATATGCTACTTATTATTGTGCTAAATTCTAGTGAAAAATTTCATAACAAAATAAAGCCATAAGACTCATTTTAAAAATAGGTATTTTTTTACTCTGATTTCATACCATTAAGTAGAAAACACCAAACTGTGGGAGATAAGTGGACAGAACAATTAAAGAGGTGCAGATTTTAGAAAGGAAGTGGAGATGGATTGGTCACACCCTTAGAAAAGATACCAGTAACAAAGCTAGGCACGCCTTAGAGTGGAACCCCCAGAGAACAAGACGCAGAGGAGAACCAAAAAGAACATGGCAACGCAGAGTACATGAAGAAGCCGAGAGGACCGGAAGGAGCTGGGACACCATTACAAAGCTAGCAAGAGACCCCGGAGAGTGGCGTGTTTTTGTTGAGGCCCTATGTTCAATGAGGAACTCAAAGGAGTGATGATGATGATGATAAGACTAGTTTTAAAGTTAGGTATTGTTTCACTTTGATTTCATACCATTAAGTCCACATGTGTCTTGAGGAAAACAAAGGTCTGTACTTTTCTGAAAATTAGAACAAAATACGAATATAAAGTTGTTTTCTGTTTATATATATATATATAAAGAAATTTACATCAATGAAATATTTTTACAAAAATCTAATTTCTATATTGCTTGTACAGTAAAATTAAAGAAATATTTTATTGTTTTATAAATTTTTTTAACTAAGATTAATTGCATCTTTTTTTTGCACTTAGATTTAATGTTATACATGTGAAATGCTTGATAATAAAACATAAAAAAATGATAATTCATTAGGCTTTGGTAGTCTAGATTTCAATTTAGAGCTCCAATTGACTTTAAAACTACTTTTGGAGTACTAGATCTAGATTCTAAATCTAAATGACAAATTTTTTAAGATAGAAAACAAAATAATAAAAATGAAAAGAAGTAATAAAAAAATAACAGTCAAATAACAAAAATATAAAGAAACTACAAATAAAAAAATACATTAGTCTAAATATACATAAGAAATCCATTTTGAATTAGGATAATAGTATCTTTATTACAAAAATGGTGTATTTTTTATCTAGATCTGGCAGCCTGGTAGTGTGATATGCAATAATAGTTGTCTCTCCATAGTCTTGGGTTTGAATCCTGCCCGTTCCATCCCTAGTCATTCTGTCTGAATATTTGCAATTAGAAACAAGTACGTAACTATATCTACATTTTAAAGTGTACATTTTAGGTCCTATCTAGTTAATTTTAATTATATTTTTAAACAAATATATTTACAATTTTAGAATTAGTCTATAGATCTTGTAGGACTACTTTTTGTTTATCTTTTAGATTTTATATAGAGGCATTAACTTTTATTTAAATCTAAGTAGGCCTATATCTAAACTCTGAAGATGGATATATCAATAGAAAAGATCTAGTATAAATTAAAGTGTTTATATATCTAGACTAGAAGCTAATGTGAATTTAGATGTAGATATATATTTTCTACATTACCTAGGATCTAATTAGTTATGGTAGCTTATATAGATCTACACCAGAGTCTAACTTTTAGATTTAAATTTACCGTTGTAGCTTAAGTTATTTAAATAGTACAGATGTTAATTGAAAAAAAGAAGATAATTATGTTCTTTGCATTTCAAGTGTCAATCTAGACATGCATGGTAATCATTGAACTAAACTTCTGATAAATCTTTGTTTTTTCAGGCTAATTCGGGCAACCCATTCAATCTTTACTGGCACTAGGGAAGGGGCACATGTAGTTGGTCGTTGTGCTGGTCACAAGACACCCTCGTTAACTGTAGGCCACAAAATAGATGACCTTAATAACATCGTCTGCACTACATATCTTAAATGCAGGGTCTGAAAGGAATACTTTTTACAAAATATACAAGTCTCTTAAGACTAGATATATCTATTTATAGGCTAAACTGATTATGGAATCCTGCCCGCTCCGTCCCAAGTCATCCTGTATGAAATTTTGCAATTAGAAAAAAAGTATGTAACTATATCTACATTTTAAAGTGTACATTTTAGATCCTATCTAGTTGATTTTAATTATTTTTTTAAACATATATATTTACAATTTTTGAATTAGTCTATAGATCTTGTAGGACTACTCTTTGCTTATCTTTTAGATTTTATATAGATGCATTAACTTTTATTTAAATCTAAGTTGTTTGTACATGTTTGATATTCTACTTTCTAGTTAAAACCTCACACAGGACGACGGGAAAGGGTAACGGGTGTCATGCTCTTATTGATTGCTTTTATTATAATTATTTCTTCGTGCTAATAGTCAAGCCATATTCTTTACAGGCCTGAGAGAAGCGGGACATTAGTGACTGAAGTTCCTCTTGTGTGTGTGCCACTACCGCTGCGTCATCCGCGAATAGCATATCTCTTACGAGGGTGGCTCTGATATTAGTTTTGGCCCTCAGTCTGGCAATATTTAGGAGTTTGCCATCAAATCTGGAATGGAGATAGATGCCTTCAGTGGATTTGTCAAACGCGTTGTGGATTAGCAGTGAAAATAGTATTCTAAAGAGGGTTGGGGCCAGGACACATCCTTGTTTAACTCCGCTGTTTATACTGAAACTTTCAGAGCTGGCACCGTTGAATTGCACTGTGCCCATCATATTTTGGTGGAAAGATATGATTACATTTAGTAGCTTGGGTGGGCAGCCTATTAACTGTAAAATTTTAAAGAGGCCATCTCTGCTAACTAGATCGAAGGCCTTTGTCACGTCAATAAACGCAATGTTTAAAGACATCCTTTGTTCTCTGCACTTTTCCTGGAGTTGACGGATGGAGAAAATCATGTCAATCGTGGATCTCCCTGAGCGGAAGCCGCATTGTGATTCTGGGTAGACCCGATCAGCGAGTTTTTGTAGCCTGGGAAGTATCACTCGAGCAAAGACTTTGCCTACAATACTTAAGAGGGAGATTCCCCTGTAATTGTTGCAGTCGCTTCTGTCACCTTTGTTCTTATACAGTGTAATGATTTTAGCATCCCGCAGGTCTTGTGGCACAGCACCTTCTTGCCAACATTTACAAAGCAGTTCGTGTAGAGGTTGGATTAGAGTAGTTTTGCATTGTTTTAGAAGATCTGGGGGGATACCATCGCATCCGGGTGCTTTGCGGGCAGCAATGTTGTCTATGGCTTTGTTGAGCTCTAAAAGGGTGGGTGTTTCATCTAGCTCGTTCATTGTGGGTAGTTGTATGATGGCTTTAAGGGCTGAGTCAGAGACTGAGCTTGTTGTGGCGTAGAGCTCGGAGTAATGTTCCACCCATCTATGCATTTGTTGGCACTTATCTGTGATAATTTCCCCAGTGATTGATTTCAGAGGTGCTGTCTTGTTTAGGGAGGGTCCGAGAGCCTTGTTGATTCCTTCGTACATCCCTCTTATGTTGCCCACTTGGGCTGCGAGCTGGATACTCTCACTGAGCTCTACCCAGTATTCATTGGCACAGATCCTTGCTGTCCTCTGTGCATTGGCTCTAGCTTCTTTCAGGTTTAGCAGGTTGTGTTGGGTAGGTTTTGCCTTGTAAGTAGCGAGTGCATCCCTCTTTGCTCTGATGACAGGTGCTAAAATAACTGCTACCTACTACAGCACCACCCTCCATCCTCATTGACGATAACAAGCTGGACGCCGTAAACGAATTCTGCTATCTGGGATCCACAATTACAGATGACCTGTCCCTAGAAGAGGAGATGAAAAAACGCATAGGGAAGGCTGCCTCGACATTCGCTAGACTCAGACTAAGAGTTTGGGAAAACCATAAGCTAACCACGGTGACCAAAATGGAAGTCTACAAGGCATGCGTTATGAGTACACTGCTATATAGCAGTGAATCATGGACCACCTACGCAAAGCAAGAGAGAAAACTAAACTCATTCCATTTGAGATGTCTCCGTAGGATCTTGAACGTCACATGGAAAGAAAAAGTGTGCAATACTGAGATCCTTGCGCGATCAGGTATTCCCAGCATTTTTACAGCCCTCAGACAACGCCGTTTGCGCTGGCTTGGACATGTTCGCCGGATGGAGGACAAGCGCATCCCGAAAGTCATCCTCTAAGGTCAACTCGCGACTGGCACAAGAAAAACTGGTCGCCCCCATCTCCGTTACATAGATGTAATAAAACGCGACCTCAAATCAGTGAACATCAATACTGAAAATTGGGAAGACATAGCTCTAGATCGCAACAGGTGGAGAGAGACAGTGACAAAGAAAGCTATGGACAGTGAAAGTACATGGGTCTCAGCCCAGGAAGAAAAACGCACAAACCGAAAAACGGCCAGCTCCTCTACCACCGAAGCAAAAGCCAAGGGGACCCTAACTTGCGCTATCTGTGGACGGGAGTGTCTCTCCAAAATAGGGCTCCACAGCCACATGAGGAAGTGTGCTCTGAGATGAACCATAGTCGTCCTACGACTGAAGGAGGCCAATGATGATGATGATGATGATGGTGATGAATGATTATAATTATTATTTTATGGATTATTTTAAAACTATAATGGTGCGCTGTTTCTAAGGACGCGCTATGTTTGCCTCATTGCTTCTTTCAGTTTTGCTTGGGTATCAGATTTTTGCTTAAATTTATAAAAAGAAAAGCCTAAATAAGAAAACATTTTTAGTTAATTTAAACAAATACAGACTTACTTTTTCTGTTGTGAGTTTTGTAGATACTTTTCTATCAGTTTGAGTTTTTTTCTTGTGGAACATCTTGGAGAACATCTTTGACGAGTTCTAAAAATAAATAAGAATCGGTTCAAAGAATTTTTTTTTACCAAACATACAAGGGCAGATAACTGACACTTTTTTTAACCTTTGTTACCCTAATAGACTTTCTTATCTTCCACTTCAAGAAATTACGTACACAAATCTGAGTACTTTGTAGGCGTTGTTGTAACTCATGTGTCACCTTTTCTTTCTTGTTCATTTCCAAATATTAGCGTGAATGTTTGTTGTTACAGTTTTGATCTGACCTTAGCCTAGCCCTTTCCTTTCTCACCATCCTGACAAGCCTTGATATGTCCTAAAGAGTTGTCCACACTTGCTGTCATGGTTTGGGATCTAGTTGTCTCTCACTCGATAGTATTTTTAAAGTTTATTTCTGGACATGTGTCGGCAGAATTTGACTAACATTACGTTAAGGAAGTAGAATTAAGTAACTTTGCAAATGACGAAAGAATGTACAAAATTTTGGTGTCTATTTATAATTGAGGAGAAATATTTGGAATTTTCGATTTCTTATTAAATCTAAATTTAACCAAAAAATTACTTTAGTCATGTAGTTACAAAAAATATTTGTAGACACTGTGTTAAATAGAACTATCTGATACGTTTATTTTTTTCATTTCCCACATGATTAGCGCTATACATCGAATTATAAACTCACACAAGCAGATACAAACATATACGTGCAATTATAACCACACGCATGCATGCCCGTAGTGTAAATCAAAGCGGTTAAGTGCTTGACTTTCGAACCTTGGGTCCTGGGTTCGAATCTCAATGAAGACTGGAATTTTGAATTTTAAAAACTCCGATGGGTACGGGTCGTTATGCTGGCCACAACACTCCCTGCTTGTTAACTGATGGCCAAAAAAACAGCTGGCCTTTTTAACATGATCTGCACTTTAGATTTTGTTATCGTAAAAATAATGCTTTGCCCAATTTAGATCTAAATTTATACAACATTCATATAAACCTAAATTTGTTCTACGGTTCACTATTCTACTATTCTGTATTAAAAGAAACCTTATATAAATATCAAAATACAATGAAGAAATGATATTAAAATAGAATGACTTACTTTATAAAATTTCTGCGTTTTTACTGACAACTTCTTGATTTCTATTTATTGAAACACGGACATTGAATAAAAAGTTACGCAAGGAATGTCTGATTATTTCTTTCTAATCAAACAAAGTTTCCCTAACTGTGAAGCGTCCCCTAGTATTTAAATTAATATCTTCTTGTCTTTCAAATAACAAATATTACAAGTGGTTTCGCTGGGGGTGGTGGGTGGACGCACCAGCTGACTACAAAGCGGGTTTGACTTACTAGGTCTAGAGTAAATATTTTTTTCGCTGAAGCTGAGGTGGGGTCTTGTTGGCAATGAAATAAATACGTGTACATTTATTTTCAACTTTTATTCTAATTAAACATTAGAGACTAACGTCCGATGTTGTCGGACCATGTTTGTTACAATGTGCAGAGATGAGCTTATTAGTAGCAGTGTTCGACCATTGGAAATAGTTTGGTATATGTTTGAAGATGTATACACTATATCTATATGTTGTTAAACTGGTCTTTAAGTGTTTCTCATCATATTGTAAAAAAAAATCTAAAAGAGAAAACTCAACGATGATTGAAGGTTAATACTGTTTCTCTATTCACTTAGATCTGAATCAACTTCTCATCTTGTTGGTCTAAACAATAATTTTATGGACCACTGGAAGGAGGTTAAGGTTCTATACTGACATTTCAATGACAATATTAAAAAAAATAGTCTCTCCTTCATGGAAATTTCAAATGTTTTACCACTGAGCTAGTCAATTGCTAACAAATTAACAGCTACGGTTAAGTAACTTCTTTGGTTTGTTTTTCGGGATATATTTGTGCGTGATTATTGTCACTGATAGGCCAAGGCCGCTATAATACATTTTCCAAATAAAACAACTGACATTAATTACGACTTATTGATGATTAATTTGTTTGTTTTTTAAGTCACGCGTTCTCATTGACAATAAATACACGCGGAAAGTTTGAACATAATCCCAGAATGCAAAGCGGAATAAATAAACTGTAACGGAATAAAAACTTACAGAGAGATTAAGTGACTTTGTATAAACTTCGTAAAAAAAGATCTTCTTGTAATACGAGTAGACACATTATTAGATGTTACAATTGAACAGGTTTGTTAATTTCTTAATGTGACGCTTGCCGCTATTCACCCTATTTTAAACACACACCAATCCTAACCTTACAAAAATAGAACACATAGTTGCATTGATAGTTTGTACAAAAACAAAAAAAAACTAAACTGATTGGATCTAGATGAAAGTCTTGGATATCTCCATTAGGTGCATCTTTTTATAAGTCGTATACATATATGAAACATCGGAATATAGGTACACAAATAATAACATCAATAATCATTGAACTTACGTTATTGAAATCCTGTTTTATCTCTGCAGCCTCAACATCATCCTAAACTATTTGCACTTACAGGTAATTGTTGTGGGCTTCCTTCAGTCGTAATAGCTATGTTTTGTTTCGTAGAAAACTTTGTCTTGTGACTATGGAGCGCTATTATAGGAGACACTCCCATCCACGTAATATGATATTGAGAACATATACTTGAGGAAATTCCCGATAATGTCACATACTATTAAACGATACGTGTACATTTATTTTCAATGTTCGTATGTGTAAATTTTATTCTAAAAACGGCTCTGGTGATTTTCTTTGAACTTTCAAGGTATACATAAGAAAGGGAGAAAAATGTTTCAACCCATCGGCCACATAGCAAGAACTCGCTTGTCGACTTTTATATTGGTTTAAACATGTTTCGTTACCGAAAAATTTATTTTGGCTTAAAGTTTCTAAAAAGGGAATTCCCGATCTCGTCCCTATAAATAGACAAACATAATTATAATATGTGGAGTGTCCTCTAGGAAATCGCGTCATGTAGCTACGTTGAGCTGTATTAGTAGTGAAGTTATACATTTATATTTTATTATCAATGTACAATTTAAAATTGTTGGCCATGAGTACTGATTATCAATCATCATTATCAAACTCCATTTGAGTGAGGGCTTGAGAGGCTCAAATCCTCTCTTACAAACGTCCAGGAAAAAACCCTGCTGTTTTGAGTAGTGTATAAATGTCGCCAGAGTAACGTAACACTTTAATAGTTGAAAAAAAACAGCCAATACTGTACAATTGGCTACACGTACACTGTACAAATATCTCTCCGATAACACCGTACCGCCGTATCAACTCTTGCACTGGCCTCTCCGTCTCGTTCCGGGCTTGCACTGAGTTCAACAGTTCAGGACTGACTTCACACACTGGACTCGTTGTGTCGGACTCGATCACAGACCAAGATCAAAACGCCTGTCGTCTTAACTGTACGGGACAGTACTCCGCACAGAACCGTCGTAATGCTCCTTACAGAACCACACCGTTGAACTGTGCTGTAGTCGACCGTGTTCTGAACCCCTGCGCTACCTCCATCTGTGCCACCACCAGGTTTATAACACCGCCCCCTCCTTAGATCTGTCCGTCCAGGACAGAATCAACATCATGACATTGGCTGTAAAGTTTCATCGCTGCAGGCGGGGGTCGATCAGTGGCAGTTGGCTTGCCTGTTGAGCTTAATGGAGCCATCCATGTTGTAGTCAGCAATGGTCGCTTCCTTCTTCTCCTCCAGTTTGACTTGACCTGGTTGCCTCGCCGTCGTGCTTTCATCGCCATCCACGTTGATTTCAGAAAACATTTTCTTCTTCTCCTCCAGTTGATCCTCATGTGGCTGCAGTGATGTCGTGGTTGTATCGTCATCCATGTTGCATTTAAAAAAAAACCTAACTGGATAAAAACTGAGAGAAATTTAAATCAAGCGTATCAAAGGAGTTTAAATTAACAAAAATATAAAAAAACAATTCTTACCTTTCAAGTCCCTGGAGCCTCTGAATTCGATTTAAATTTAGTAATAAAGTCTTAAGTTTGAAAGTCTAATTAAATATGTGTTTAAATTTACATTCACCTAACACTAGTGTTGTTGACCCGGCTGTAGGTGTGTCAATGTTGAAGGTTGTCTGTACCAAATAATATCGGACATTTCTTAATTCTATTTTCTGTTATCTTCAACAAGCATGTTTCGTACCTGTTCATTGATAACATACATATATATATATTTATAATTAGTTTCATGGTTGTGAATTACGTAAGGTTTGGTCTTGAGACCAAAAGAATAGTGACACAACATAAGTATATCAAGGTTACTAATTTTTATCTTATTATTAAAAATACATACATACGTACATACATACATACATACTTCAAAAAGAAGTTGATTACGTTTACGCGTGTTCCTAAGTCAATCTAGTCATGCATGTCAATCAATGGTTTAAATTCTGCCAAGTCATTAGTTATCCTGGCTGATTCAGGCAACCCATTCCATGCTCTAATAGCACTAGGGAAGAAAGAGCATGTGCACAAATGTGTCCTAGCTTATGGGACAAAGAATGTGCATTTATCTTTGTGTCTGAGTTGTTTTTTTTTGTATGAGTGTTTCTTGTTTTGTATTTGAAGATGATGGGTCATTGTTTTCTATATATAATTGCCTCTCTACATTACTTTGAAGTCTTTTTTTCCCTGAAGGGTATGCAATGTCATGATTTTTTTTTTTTGTTACTCTAATGAAATGTGAATATTCGTTAGTTATGAATCTCACTTCTCTATTTTGTGTCTGTTCCAGTTTCAAATGTTTTCTTGAGTTGAGGGGTTCCAAAAGGAGGATGCATATTCTATTAAAGCCAAACCAAGGTTAAATAGCAGATTGTTGCGTACACCGTTATACCCATTTTTTAAGAAAAAAAACTAAATTGAATGTAGAGTTTTATCAACTCAATTGAGGTTATCTAAATTTGATTATAAAAACACAAGAGCAAAATAGTGTGGCGTGATATTAGTCACATTTTGGCCTCGATGTACTTGACCTATTATCTATAAATAGAATATCGAATTTTTCCCGATTTTTGAGAAATAGCTGGAAGAGGATTTCCACGTTACCTTTGCAGACTCAGCAAACACATTTCAACTCGAGTCCTAAGTCGAGCTTCCTTGATATGTAGTCAAGTGGTTTATAAGAGACCAATTATCGTAGTAGTTCTGTACGTAAGACTAATGATAAGGCAGCCTATAGTCTGGTGAAACAAATAGCTGCTTATTATTAAGGCCTATTTTGACGATTAGTCTTATTTTTAATCACTTCGCCACATCAGAAAGAAAAGCTAACTCTGCTAAACATAAATTTATAAAA